TTCATTTCCAGCGATATCGTCGACTTGATTGCACAGACACTATTTAAACTGAACTGAGCTGGATGATGATATCACTGAATTCAATGATGATGATATATTAATGTAAAATTACCATTTTTATTATATTCAATTCAGTTTTTTTTTTAAATAATTTTTAGAATACATATTTTAGTTTACTTGCACCTGCCATCTAATGACCTTCTTCACGTCCAGCAGATGGCAGTATGAAGCATCCTTCTGCTCGCGATCGCCATGTCTCTCCCGCAGCAGAGGAAGAGAGTCTCCGAGAGAGAAGAGCTCTGCGAGAAAGTCAAGAGACTCCGCGCTCACCATCCGCGGAAAGGAAGGAGAAACGCTGCCGAGGGATCTGCCCCGCCACCGATTCCCCGGTCTGTAGATCGTCGTGTCGATCCGTAAGACAGGGCCGAGGCGCGGAGATCAGGGAAGCCTCCTGTCGTCGGAGAATCGCGCATTATGGGAAACGCAGCGACTGCCAAGAAAGGCAATGAACTGGAGAGCGGTAAGAGCTGGAGCGTTTCATACTTTCATTCACCTGATATTACAAGATGCATTACTTTATAAAGTCCTTGCTCTTCTTATAATGTCGGTAACGTTGTTTATTTAGCCTTGTAGCCAAGGCTAATGTTAGTTAGCTGGTCAGCGAGTGAGTATACCTAGTTTGCTAGGTTAGAGGCCCAGACCTGCTGCTATATCAGGAGAAACACTCGCACAAACGCTGTTTCTTATCGTTTACATATGTTTTCTACATCTCCACTTGCCTTTAGATGATGCACATACACATGAGCAGTTGATCTAGTTGTCTTGAACTGGAGAATAAATAACATTATCACTGGCAGTCAGGTCGGGCCTGCTAACAGCAGTCTCTATACTGCCTCTAGTAAACAACATCAAGTCATTAAGTTAATTAAACGCCTGTTGTAGCTGGTGGTGAGCATAGGATGAACTCTTAAAAAACGAACTAAAACGAGTGGATTCTTGCGTTTTTTTTCTCTCTTTAATAAAATTACAATGTGTTTGTTTTGCTGACATTTTAGATTAGCGCAAAAACGATTAACTCAGAGTTTTTCCCTCAATAAACTCTTAATTTGCTGGTTATTAAAAGTTTTATTGATTCTTGTTAGTTTAGGTATTGGGTGGGTTAAGGGATCTAGAAAATGGTCAGGCAATAATATGTGCCTTATAAGTACTAGTATGCATCCTAATAAGCAAGTAGTTAATAATGAATAGTGTTCCATATAATATAATATGCATAATTGTCTAAAACTAATTCGACACTGTAGAAAGGTGATATATTGCATGTAATAGGCATCTGTCAATCAACAGTCACAGTTTGAATCATCTCAAACAGGTTGATGCTCATGAGTAACATACAAGGAAAATTATGTGTTTATGTAATTATTCACTCACCTTTATGCTTTTCCATAAAAAAGCTTGTTTTATTTTTTTGCAGGCGTGCTGCATGGTTTGATGGATGTAATAAAAGATATCATATACATTACAGCATCACTAACCTGGATATTAACTATACAGTTAAGTTGGTTGCATGAATAATAAAAAAAGCTTTATAGAACATTGGAATCATAGTATTTATTATTAGAGGTCGACCGATGTATCGGTTTTGCCGATTAATCGGCACGTCGACCTCTATTTATTACTATAGAATTGTAAAATATTTTAACTGTTGTTATATATGATGTTACACGGCTTGATTTGAAAGTACTTAACATTTGTATAACCACTTCACTATATACATCTTTAAATTCAAACCCTGTCTCTGTCACTGCTGAAAAAAAGCTTAAACCAGCCTTAGCTGGATTGCTGGCCATAGCTGGTTTATGATGGTCTTTCATCTTGACCATGCTGGTTTTTATCCGGGTTAGCCAGCTGATCTCTAAGCCTGACCAGCTGGTAAGTGCCCAAAAACAGCCAACAGACCAGCTTAGTCTTGAGTGTGGTTTTGTTTTCATGTGTGAACATAAGAGCAAAAACAAAAGGATTGCCTTCTTTAAATCATATATTATGTTCACTTTGTACAAACCAGCATAAGGACATATACGTATTATAAGTGATCCTCAAGAAACATAAAAATAATAAAAAGGTATAAAAAGGTCATGGCATTTTTAAAAAGCTGCACAGTGGAGTGGGGGGAAAGGTTTTATTTTCAGCTTAAAACTATGAAGAGCTTCCATGCCTAAGTACCCTTAGCTTTCGTCATTGACGTGAGCAGCTTGTCATCTACAGAGGATAAAAGTAATTAGTAGATTTGAAAGGCTTGATGCTATCAACTGCAATCGACACTGTTAGTTTAAGTGTGACGCACGCTTACCCCGGATGCACTGCTCGGTGTGATGGACCTGCATCTCTAAATGCAATGTAGACTTCACATTTGAAGTGCTGAAATAACCAGCATGTTTTATCTCATGGACAAAAATGCAGTGCATTGTAAATATTTAGGTTATTTTAAAGTCATTTTAAAGTCAGTTCACTGGTGGAGCAGGTTATAAGTTTTTTTTTTATTTTATTTTTATTTTTATTTTTTTGCAATAGTTAGATTCGGTCTTTGAGTCTGATTGGTTTTAGCAGACCAGCTGTCAGTCTATATAGTAGGTAGGACTGCACGATTAATCGAATGCGATTGTCATGCGCATTTTGATAGTAATGCCGGTTCTGTAATCAGCAGTACGTATACTGCCGTAGTCGTGTGTTTATTAGTCACGTTGAATCAATAAAAGCAGTTGAATCTTCTGTTTATTCAGCTGCAGCGATAGGCATTTTCTGGGTTTCTTCTGCGAGGCGTATTTGGAGTTTCAGCACGAGAGCGCCCTCTGGCCTTTGGATGGAGATTTACTGCTGATCACAGAACCGTGCTTCACTGAAAGATACGCATGACAATCGCAGCTTCTGTCGAATCGCGATCTCGATTCCATTTCGATTTATCGAGCAGCCCTAGTAGTAGGGCTGCACGATTATGACAAAAATCATAATTGTCGATTTTTCCCTTGAAATTGTAATTGCGATTATTAATTACGATTACCACAATTTACATTGATTGAATGATGTTTATACCATTGTTTGAAGTAACTGCATGCCATATTTGTATATGAAAATAAACACTAACTGAAAAACTTTTATTGCTTACATAAGCCTCAAATGTCAACTATATTGGAAAGTAAAAATTTGCATGGTACTATAATGTATGTTCCTGTGGCTCAGTGGTAGAGCATTGCGTTAGCAGCGCAAAAGGTCGTGGGTTCAATTCCCAGGGAACACATACTGGTAAAAAAAATTATAGCCTGAATGCACTGTAAGTCGCAAAGCATCTGCTAAATGCATAAATTATTAAATTAATAAAAATTATAATGTTATAATAAAACTAAAATTAAAACAATGGAAAAACCCTTAAGATAACCTGTAGAAGGAAAGAAAAAAACGCATCTTAAGCACGCAGAATAACATAAGTGGACTTTGAACGATTAATAGCCGCTTTGAATGATTATGTAATCGTGGCATCCGTAATTTTAATCGCGATTAGAAATTTGATTAATTGTGCTGCCTTACTATGTAGTAATAGTAGGGATATTTTCACTGACTCTTTCTGCAGGTTATATCATTACGCCAGTAGAATGGGGGAAATGACTGTGTTTATTAGAGAGTCATTGAATCGTTTACTCAACAATTTTGTGCAAAAACACATTAATTTAGGAAAAGAAACACCACCTGTGTTTTACTCTTGAGATGCGCAGTGTTTCTGTTTTCAGTGGCGGGACAAAACAAAGTAACTGGCAATATTGTTATAATTATAATAATATATAAATATAATATAAGTTGCAACTTACTCAATATTAACTTTTTTTTAACTGCTGTATAAAAGCAATAATCAAATTTTTTTTAATGAAGCAGTGATATGTGGATACATTTACATTTAGCAGGAAAACAGATGAAATTACTATAATTTGTATAAAACATAAAATCCTCATAAGAAAACTGCTTATGCGCATCATGGATACGGAATTATACACTTCAATAACTTGAGCACCCACACACACACACACACACACACACAAAAAAAAAAAAAAAA